TGACAATATCATTCCAGTCAGACATGCGGTGGACCAAAAGGAGACATGATCCCCCAGCATGTTCTTTACTGTGGATTTTGTCTATGAGGGTATATTTATCCATCAACTTAAAAATCCTGTTATCTATGAATGACTAATTTCTGAAAATGATTGGGATGTAACGCTTTAACAATTCAATTCGTCTAACATACTTTTCTAACCATTGATGCAGAACATGCTTGCATCTGAAAGCTGGGTGGACCATAGCCTGGACATGCATAGGCACTGAATACACATTTGGAAGCAGAGCTAAGGTTGCAACACAAAATTAGCTTGGGTCCAGTTTACGTTTGAGTTCATCTGAACCCAGAAGGAAGCTGTCGGTGCCAGTCCAATCAGCTGCAGCCACGACATTCCCTGCCCTGAAGCTGCACATAAGAAAATGGGGTGGGATGCTGCTGACATTATTGACCTTATATGACCACATGGTAAATTATATTGACCTACAATATCACATAAAGAAATATGAATAATGAACATATGTTAAAAAACGTTTTATTTATTTAACACTAATATATATATATATATATAAAATCTGAGGGTTTAATGTCACTTTAATTCCAGGGAGATATAAAAATACAAATTAATGTATTTCTGTATTAAACATCATTATTAACCCCTTCATGACTGAGGCCTTTTTTTCAGCGACGTACACTGTACGTCGTCAGTCACGAAGGGGTTAAATTGATTTTTTACATAGACACATAGAATAGTGACAACAGAAAAAAGACTAAAAGGTCTACCCGTTTTTCAATTTTTTTGCTGTTTATTTATGGTTTTATTCTGTTTTAACCTTTATAGTGGAGCTTTTCCCCATTTCACTAAAAACAACATGCATGATGATATGAAATCATCTTACATTCATTAGGTAAATAAACATATTTTGCGTTTTACTTACAATTACTATTTTTCCATTTCCTGGTTTAGTCAGGCACTGGTGATGTAGCCCTGACCTCACAGATTATGCATCCTGGGAAGGCTACTTCACTAGTGCCACTATTGTGAGATTTCGGTGAAAGGCATATTTTTGCCCCTGAGATTATATGCACTTTCACATATCCTAGTCACATGTGCCAGAGTTCCAGGAAGTGCTTACAATTATTGTTTTCCCACTTCCTGGTCATCTTAGGCATTAGTGATGTAGACCATGCCTAAGAGATCCATCCTGGGAATGTTACCTCACAGTGCACTGCTGGGAAATCTCATCTGTAAACTGCAAAATTTCGCAAGAATGGGGAGGAAAAGAAAAATAAGGTATGCAAAGAATAAAAAGCCTGCAATTGTCTATAAGTACATGTTTGTAGATTGCCATTACTAAACATGTATTAATGTGCCTCTGTTGCCATTTTTAGGTTAAGGGTAAAGTTCCTCTCTAAGTAAAGATCTATGACCGAAGTATGCTTAAATTAACCCACTATTGACTGACTCACTACCATTCTGCTGGAAGTCTGTTCCAAGCATTACCTACATTTTTGGCAAAATAATATTACATAAGGAAAGATTTGAACATTCCTCCTGCTAGTTTGAGGATATGTTCCTGTGTTCTTGATCTTACCTTCATTATAAAAATACTGCCCTCCTGAACCTTATCCACATGCTCCATTTTTTAAATATAGGCAGCATAAGTACCTGAATTTGACCTGGTATCACCCTTTGGCAATCCCCCGTACACACATAGCTCAGCCTGAGAGAGGGAGAAACAATAAAGGAGCCAAGAAGGTGCGCTGCAGTGCTCATTTGCTAACAAAGGACATGTTTTTTAGAGGAGAGAGCGAAGAGATGAGCTCATCTGTGTGCTGCTTCTCCTTTCACTGTCCAGTCACAGAATAAGAGAGGGTCACACGCTTAACTGCAGTAAAGAAAATACATTTTTTTGCCCTGTTAAACAGAGTTGTGCTGTGTGGCAGAGCTGAGTAAATTTCAGGACTTCATTGATAGAAATACAAATTATTTGGCAGGTAACAGCTCCCATACAGGTATTCCATCTTTGTATTTTACTGCTTGACTTGGAATTCAGACTTAAGACATCAGCCTGAGTACAAAGCAGCATTTGGCAGTCCATACCTAGTTGGTACATTATCATTAGCTTATGACCAACAGTGAGAATAAAGCTGTCAACTGACTGGTGGGAAGAACTCAACTTGCCTTCCTCTGCCGCATCTGATATAATGTTTTTAATGTTTTTTACATGTGCAGCAACTGAACCAACCACTTTAAGGATCATCCAATTGAAGGTGAACCAGATTGTACCTTGGAAACCCCCTTTCATAAAGCCAACCTGATATACAAGCGAATTGTGCTTCCTGAGGCAAAGAGTTAATGGAAGTCTCTCTGACGACTAAGACTGTTACTGCATGTTCCGTTAAACTCTAAATGAGGTCTAAGCATAGATTAAATTCAAGCAGGTCTCGTCTTGACGGAAATTGCAAGAGATGAAAAAAAGATTAGAGGGAGAGATATAATAAAAACAGACCTCACAAGTCAGGCTAAATAGTGAAGCCAGTGCCTTTCATGTAGACTAAAGCACAAGCAAATATCCTGAGTTCTACAGATACAAGCTATCTCCCCAGAACATCTCCCAGCCTTCTTCTCACACATTCTCATTCATTCCCAGGCTCTATCATTTGATTGGAGAACACTAAAGAACAGCAGGGATGAAGATTTATAAGAAAGAGGGTCCCAAATCACATAAGGATTTTGTTTGATGTCTATTTTTTTTATTTTAGCACAGAACTATGTATCGAATGCCTCATCAATAACTAGAACCGGATCAAAGAAATCAAAACTTATTAATACTTTTAAAAAAACCTATAATAGTACTATTGTGATGAGCGATTCAATAGAATAGTATGTCATTATAATGCCACATTGTGTTTGCACTGTGTTCACTGTGCCATGTAATTTCAGCGTTATAGACAATGTTACAGTACAATACTTCTAAAGACATAAAGAAGAATTCAGCTTTAGGGGCCTTACTGCATGGCCTATTAAAGTGACACTAAACTCAGCAGTTAAAAACCTTAAAGATACATTCAGGTACCTTAACTATTAACAAAAATGGATCTTATTTGTGTATCACCCAGCTGTAGATCCTCAAATCATCTCTGAATTTGTGCTGACACTGTCCTTCCTTTTGGAGGGAGGCTACAATTTCAATACAAATGATTAAACTAAACGTGAGATTGTAGTCCATCACAGGAGCGAGCTTGGAGTGGTGCCTACTATAGGGACCATGGGGAACAAAAGTATCCACCCTCCAGATGGAAGGACAGTGTCAGCACCAATTCAGAAATGATTTGAGGATCTACAGCCGAGTGATACACAAATAAGATACATTTTTTGTTATTAGGTAGGGTAGTTGAATGCATGTTTTAGATTTAACTCCTGAGTTTAGAGGCACTTTAAGTGCAAATAATAATGATATATAATAACCCATAGCAACTATTTTCACTATTCAAAAGGCTTGCGAATTCAGCTTAAGTAGAGGAAAGGCTATTCGCGGTAAAAAAATCGCGCGACAAACTCGCGTTTCCGAGGACTACTTGGCTGTATCCCAATGGAAACGCGCAACAAAAACGGCCCAAAGTAGTACATGTACCTTTTCAGGCGTGGGCCGTTTTGTAGCGCGTAAGGGACGGGCTGAAATACGCCAAGGTGTGAACCAGACCCATTGAATACAATGGGATTTAGATGTTTGAGCGTTTTGTAGAGCGTTCGTCGAGCGTAGAACGTGCTACAAAACGTTCAGGTGTGAACGAGGGCTTAATGTTACCTCCCCATTGCTCTTACTGTATATTCACTCCATACAGTTTCTAATAAATCTCAATGTAATACCTGTTTTCAAACTTTTTGCCAGTGGTCACATGACCACAAAGCTCCAGCGAGGGTGTCTCTCTGTACGCATGATGGGCATCAACTTTTTCAGGGTTGACAATGCCTTAAAACTATGGACACCAGTGGGATGTCATTAAAGGATTTGTAACTATTTAGACAGTCTTGTCATCCATGCTTAACATGACAGCCAGGCTCTGGACCTCTCTGTAGAATACAGTGCAGCTAAGCAATACAGCCTGTTCAAGGGATTGCCACAGCCTCTGACTTGACAATAAAGGAGGGGCACAGCATTGGTGTAGTCATCCTTGCACACTAGTACATTAGATTTGAGCACCGGGAGATTGGTGATGGTAGTTTAGGGTGCTGATCTCCCTTGTAGAGAGTGAAGGCCTACCCTAAAGTAGAACTACACCCCCCTATTCTTTACAGCTGAAGAAGGTGCCATCTAAGCCTCTATTTGGAATGCAGTTGCCATTAATATCATACAGGATTTATATAGCGCCAACAGTTTGCGCAGGGCTTTAAAATGTAAGGAAGACATTACAATCACAATACAAATCAATGATGCTGCACATGTGATCAGCTAATACACCAACCATTAGACGGATTGGAAGTTCAGTTGAGAGCTAAAATAAGCAAACTGGCAGCCTTGACATTTGGCATGTTGCTTCCCTGAAATTTCTGTCCAGTAAGAGTTCATAAGGACAGAACATTATTATTATTATTATAAAGGATTTATATAGCACCAACAGTTTGCGCTGCGCTTTACAATATAAGGAAGACATTACAATCACACTACAATTCAAGATAAGATGGTAAGGAGGGCCCTGCCCCTGAGGGCTTACAATCTAAAATGCTTTTACCTGCTTTCATCATGAGGACAGAGCCCCCTTTGTTCAGGCATTATCCAAAGACGGCATCTACTACATGGCCTCCACTGCAATCCAACACTTCTAAGCGTGTCCAATAAAGTGTCTCCTGCTGCGCACTGCTTTCACCTACTTGTTGTTACATCACTACAATGTCCTGTAGTCATGTCACAGCAAGCAATTGCAACAGAAGTAAGCAGCAGGGGATATGCTATTTGATACATCAGGAAGTGTCAGTTAGGAAGAAATCATAGTATCTTAGTCCAGGACGTAGATGCTGCCTCTGAGTAATGCCTGAACAAAGATAGCTCCCTCCTGGAAGGAAAAGCAGATAGAAGCATTGGCATGAAGAGTACTATGATCTCTGTGAGAGGTAATAAATACGTGTAAGTGTTTTACATAAAGCATTTCTAAACCCAAAAAGCCAAAAATGTAATATATTGCAGCTTACCAATCCGTACATGAGGTGGTTGAATTCATGTTTCTCTTTTTTTGCTTTGTTTTTATCTAGTGATCCATCCAGTAAGTCTGGTATAATGCAACTTCCTTTAACAGAGCAAGCTGTCCAGCAAAAGTGGAAGTTCAAGGTTTCAGACAAACCATTTAGCACTGACAGGGATGCTTACAATGGTCAGCTTTTATTCATTTATGTAAAACCTTTATCCCAAAAGGAATAAAAAAAACTGTTGCTTTACCTGCTTAAGAAGTGTTAGCTGGAATTCAGATTTAATTTGTTAGTCATCTCTCCGCTGACATCTAAATCTGCCAGTGCATCAATCACTACCCTTCCTATAGGGTGACAATGCTGCTGTTCAAGAGTGGCTCCATTGCTTCTTCATACCTTGGAGCCACCATAGTACAGCAAGTGTGTTACTGGCCGAATCACCAGGTGAAAATACAGGGGGAAAACTAATGCACCCACCACATTTAAGGATTTGTAAGCTACAATATATTACATTTATGGTTTTGGGTGTAGATACTCTTTAAAATGACTTAGCATGCAAGCATTTAACATGAAAAATATGTTTTATGCTAGGACCACTTTAAGTGGCCTCCAATGTAGGGATGTTCAGATACCAAGTACCGTACTCGGTACAAGTACAAGTACAGATACTTTTCCAGCTCCAGGACTAGACTAGAGATTTGTACATCCCCATTTTAATGTATTATTTTCTTGTTATAAATATATATAAGGGATGCACCGATACCATTTTTGCAAGTACAAGTACTGATACTTGTCCAAGTCCTCACAGATACAAGTACTGATACATTTTTGCTTATGGTCATGTGACAGTTTTTCTAAAACAATACAGACTAATGATTTCAGGACATTGGTGGAGCGTCAAAGTCAGGTCCCAGCTCCAACCACTGCAACCCTGGTAGTTGTAGTGAAAATGCCAAGTATCAGCACTGGTATCTGAACTGGTATCAGAACATCCCTACTCTAATGTATTTTAAGAACATGTGCCATGATTCCATCACATAGGCAGAAAATAAAACGGTTTTTGTATATGACAGGACTGAAGAGCTCATACTCATAAGAGACTGTTGTGTAAACTTTGAATAGATTTTTTTTTTATACTGTCAGATGAAGTGGTGAAAGTGGCTGCCTGTCAGGTCAGCCTTGAAAATATGGATCAATTGCATACAATCTTAGTTTTTTTCTTCTACACTTTTCACAGTTCCCATTTATGTGTCACTAGCAAGCCACTACTAGAGTACACTGGAGAAAAATCAAAGCACCTCTCTCATAATAAGTATTTCATAGCTATTCGACTAACAATGCTTCCTAGTGAATACGATCAGTGCATTGTAACCTGATCTGGTAGAAAAAGCAAGGAATTGTGTAAAGCGCTTTGTCAGCATATAAAGGTTTAGTTTAAAGGTTTCCAAGCAACAGGACAATAGCCAAAAATGAGCATACATTTGAAAGTTGCGATGTGAACAAAAAAAAAACAGTCTTTGCAGACCGAAGAGCTGAAATTATAGCTGTCCACAGAGGCCTCATAACTGTACACACATTGAAGAGAACCGGTCACCATTGGGCTTATACTAGAATCTGAATATTCAGTCTTAGATTGCTATAACTTGTGCAGGCTATAGATTTACCCCTTTTTTTTACTCCTACTGTTGCCCTTTGCGATTGAGTGATGTTTATGGTATTTTGCAGGAATGCACTGATACCGGTATTTCAGTATCGAGTACGAGTACCGATATTTTTTTTGGTACTCACCAATACCGAATACCGAATACCAATACCGGAAGATCGATTAAGGAAGCCACGTGTCATGTAATCACTCGCCACCTGGCTTCTTGATTAGCCCCTGAAAAACAACCCAAAAACCATAATCCCCCCTGCACCAAACTTTACACTTGGCACAATGCAGTCAGGCAAGTAAAGTTTTCCTGGCAACCGCCAAACCCAGACACATCTATCGGATTGCTAGACAGAGAAGCGTGATCCGTCACTCCAGAGAACACGTCTCCACTTCTCTAGAGTTCAGTGGCGGCGTGCTTTACACCACTGCATCCGACGCTTCGCATTGCACTTGATGTAATGCTTGGATGCAGCTGCTCGGCCATGGAAACCCATTTCATGAAGCTCTCTACGCACTGTTGTTGTGCAAATCTGAAGGCCACATGAAGTTTGGAGGTCTGTAGCTATTTACTCTGCAGATAGTGGGCGACTTCTGCGCACTGTGCGCTTCAGCGTGGGCTGACCCCGCTCTGTCATTTTACGTGGCCTACCACTTTGTGGTTGAGTTGCTGTTGTTTCCAGTTGCTTCCACTTTGTTATAATACCACAAACAGGTGACCGTGGAATATTTAGTGGCAAGGAAATTTAACGGATGGACTTATTGCACAGGTGGCAACCTATCACGGTACCACGCTTGAATTCACTGACATCCTGAGTACGACCCATTCTTTCACAAATGTTTGTAGAAGCGTCTGCATGCCTAGGTGCTTGTTTTTTTACACCTGTGGCCATGAAGGTGATTGGAACACCTGAATCCAATGATTTTAAGGGGTGTCCCAATACTTTTGGCAATATACAGGTGAAACTCGAATAATTAGAATATCGTGCAAAGTTCATTTATTTCACTAATGTAACTTAAAAGGTGAAACTAATATATGAGAGAGACTCATTACATGCTAAGCAAGATAATTCAAGCTGTGATTTGTCATAATTGTGATGATTATGGCTTACAGCTCATGAAAACCCCAAGAACCCCAAATCCACAACCTCAAAAAAGTAGATTATTACATGCAATCAATAAAACAAGGATTGTACATAGAACAATATCGGACCTCTGAAAAGTACAAGCATGCATATGTACTCAGTACTTGGTTTGGTCCCCTTTTGCAGCACTTAATGCCATTACTTTTGCACGATATTCTAATTATTCGAGTTTCACCTGTAGTGTACATTCCCTATTAGCCATAAATGATATAAATCCATTTTGCATATACCAAATATCTTTGCAAACCTGTACAGCAGATCTGTGGGAAGGAGTGCAGTAGGTGTACAATGCAGGATTACTGCAAAGGACACCTGGGGGTCTATTATATTTTTTTTCACATAAGAGTCACACATTTTTCAATTGAAACAATATATATATATATACATAAAATATATATATAAAATATATATGTTTGTGTGTGTGGTGCTATGC